TTTGGGGATGCAGCAAAAGCAAAAGCAAAAAGCTTAGTTCTCAGAAGGAAGTGTGTAACAGTGAAGATCTACCTTTGAGAAAAAAATAGAGAAAGACTTTGAATGAAAAATCTCACTTTACACCTGAAGAAAACAGAAGAAAAGAAAGAACGAAGCCCAAAGTTAGTAGAAGGAAGGTAATAACAAAGATCTGAGCAGAAATAAATGAAATAGAGACTATAAAGACAATAGAAAATATCTATAAAATTAAGGGATGATTTTTTAAAAGATAAATAAAATTGACAACCTTTAGCTAGACTAGGAAAAAAGAGACAATTCCAATATAAAAGCAGATATGAAAGAGGAGATGTCACAACTGATACCACAGAAATACAAAGAATCATAAGAGACTACAATGAACAATTACCCACCGAAAAACTGGGTAACCGAAAAGAAATGGATAAATTCCTAGAGCACACAGCCTACCAAGGCTGAGTCATGAAGAAATAGAAAATGTGAACAGACCAATAACAAGTGAGGAACCAGTAAACTAGTAAACTCTAGGGCCAGATGGCTTCACTGGTGACTTCGACCAAACATTTAAGGAATAATTAACACTAATCTTTCCCAAATTCTTCCAAGATATTGACGAGAAGGAAACGCTTCCAAAGTCATTATAAGGCCAGCATTCCTCTGATACCAAAGCCAAGTGAGGACACTATAGAAAGAAAGAAAATTATAGGCTAGTATCTCTGATGAATATAGCTGTGAAAATCCTCAGCAAAATACTAGCAAACCAAATTCAACAGCTCATCAAAAGGATCATAGCCATGATCAAGTGGGATTTATCCCTGGGATGCAAGGATGGTTCAACAGCGGCAAATCAGCCTATGTGATACACCACAATAACAATGAAGGATAAAAATACGATCATTTCAATAGATGCAGAAAAAGCGTTTGACAAAATTTGATATCCTTTTCTGACAAAAATGCTCAGCAAATGACGTATAGAAAGAATGTACCTCAACATAACAGGCCATTCATAAATCTGCAGCTGACATACCCAGCAGTGAAGAAGTGAAAGCTTTTCCTTTAAGATCAGGAAGAGACAAGTGTCCACTCTCACTACTTCTATTCAACATAGTCCTGGAAGTCCTAAGCCAGAGCAAGGAACTTAGGCAAGAAAAAGAAATAAAAGTCATCCAAATCAGAAAGGAAGTAAAATTTTCTATTTGCATGTGACAGGATCTTATATAGAGAAATCTTAAAGACCACAGGGGCGCCTGGCTGGTTCAGTCTGCTGAGCGTCCAATTCTTGATCTCAGCTCAGGTCTCGATCTCAGGGTTGTTAATTCAAGCCCCATGTTGGGTACTGTGCTGAGTATGGACAGTACTTAAAAAAAAAAAAAAAAAGGAGAAGAAGAAGAAATCTTGAAGATTCAGCAAAAATCTATTAAAACCAATAAACAAATTCTGTAAAGTTGCAGAATACAAAAATCACCATACAAAAATCAGTTGCATTTCTAAACACTAACAATGAACTATCCAAAAAATAAATTAACAAACCCATTGACAATAGCATCAGAAAGAATAAATTATTTAGGGATAAATTTAATCAAAGAAGTGAAAGATCTATATGCTGAAAATCATAAAACACTGATGAAAGAAGTTGAAGACAACACAAATAAATGGAAAGTTATCCATTGTTTATGGATTAGAAGAATTAATATTACTGAACTATTCATACTACCCACAATGATCTACAGATTTAATGCAATACCTATCAAAATTCCAATAGCATTTTTTTCACAGACATAGAAAAAAATCTGAAAATTTGTATGGAACCACAATAGACCCCCAAAGCTAAAGCAATCTTGAGCACAAAAACCAAGCTGGAGGCATCATACTTTCTGATTTCAACTATATAATAAAGCTATAGTTATCAATAGCATATGGTATTGACCCAAAACATATAGATCAATAGAATATATAGACATAGAGATCAATAGAACAGGACAGAGAGCCTAGAAATAAACCCAGTCATACCCACTAATTTTCTACAAAAATGCCAAGAATACACAAGGAAAAGGATAGTCTCTTAAACGGTGCTAGGGAAACTGGATATTGACATGCATTAGAATAAAGTGGACCGTTATCTTACATCATACAAAAAAATAAACTCAAAATGGATAAAAGACTTAAAGACAAGACCTGGAACTATAAAACTCTTCCAAGAAAGCATGGGGAAAAAAATCCCAGACATTGGTCATGGCAATGATTTCTTGGATCTGACACCAAAAGCACAGGCCACAAAGGCAAAAATAAACAAGTGGGACTATATTAAACTAAAAAGTTTCTGCACAGCAAAGGAAAGAAACAAAAAAATGAAAAGGCAACCTACAGAATGAGAGAAAATATTTGTAAACCATGTATCTTTTAAGAATATCCAAAATGTATAAGCAAAAAAAATGTATAAGGAAACCTTACAACTGAATGTCAAAAGACAATGACAAAAACAAATAATCTCATTAAAAATAGGGTGAGGAACTAAATAGATATTTTTCCCGATGAGGCAGAGATGGCCAACAGGTATATGAAAAGATGCTCAATATCATTCATCATCAGGGAAATGCCAATCAAACCACAATGAGATCTCACCTAACGCCAATTTGAATGGCTATTACCAAAAAGACAAGAGATAACAAATATTAGAGGGGAGAAAAAGAAAGCTTTGTACACTGTTGGTGGGGCTATAAATTGGTACAACCATTATGGAAAACACTATGAAGTTTCCTCCAAAATTTCAAAATGGAACTATACCATATGACCCAGCAATCCCACTTGTGGGAATATATCCACATGGTATGATGCAGCATTACTCACCATAGCCAAGGAATGGAAACAACTTGAGTGTCTATTGACAGATGAATGGATAAAGAAATGAAAAAATGTATATGTAAGTACTCGTTTAACATATTTATCTATTTTTATTTTTATACTGTATTGTATATCTGTCCATTGCATACACACATGCTGGAATATTTAGGCATAAAAAGGGAAGGAAATCCTGCCATTTGTGACAACATCGATCAACCGTAAGGCCATTACGCTGAGTGAAATAAGCCAGACAGAAAAGACAAATACCGCAGGGTAACACTGTAATGCGGAATCTTAAAAAAAGAAAAAAAGGTGGGGGCGGGGAGTCAAACCCATAAAGCCAGAGAGTAGAGTGGTGACTAGCAGGAGGTAGGGGTGGGAAATAGGGAGATGTTGGCCAAGGGTACAAAACTCGCAGTTATACAGTGAATAAGTTCTGTTGTACACAGACTGACTCTAGCGAATACTGTATAGTACACTTGAAATTTGCTGAGGATAGACCTGGAACATTCTCACTAAAAGGAAAGTTCCCACATGAGGTGATGGACTTGTTATTTAACTTCGTTGTGGAGATCATTTCACAATGTAAAAGTAAGCTGAATCATCAGCTTGCACAGTTTAAACATGCTGCAAGTTTACTTGTCAATTACACCTCAATAAAGCTGGCGGGAAGGAAAAAACTGAAACCAAAGACTGAGCTGCCTCTGTCTTGCTGTGTGCCCTGGGGAGGGCTTCCTAACCACTCTGTGCCTCACTGACTCTATTGATATGATGGGACTCTCCCTACCTATCTCCTGCAGTTCATAAAATGGGAAAAAGACCGCTGGACTCCAGGGGTGTAGACAGGCCTGTGTTTTAGGTGCTCCCCTGCTCTCCGCCCCTGGGCCGGGATGCAGCTGCGCCCACGGGGAGTTTGGCAAGAGTCAAAGACCAGGTCATTGGAGGTCTCTGTACGCCCCTGTGTCTAGGATAGCGATGGCTACCCTGGGCTCAGCCTCCAACAAGAGAGACAACGCGGCCACAGCACTCCAGCACCTGCTCAGCAGAATGCCCAAGGGTGCCAGGAACCAAGCTGTCTGGATGGGGCGAGCTGGAGGCAGGGGAGCGGACAGATGGAACAGAACTTACGCAAACTCATCATGCTCCCCACGTCCCACCTCCAACACCAAAGCCAGGATGGAGGCAAAGGAATGAGATTATGAGAGAAATGACAGAACCTTGGGTTGGAAGTCAACCCCACACAGCCACTAGGTTCTTGCGGGACCTTGGGCAAGTTTCTTCTCTCTCCAGGCTCCGGGACAGAGGATTTGTTATGTAACAAGGATCCACCAAGGGCCATAACCACACTGGGTCCTTCACAAGCATTCTCTCCTCAAATCCTCACCCAAAGCGCTGTGAGGGAGGAATCATAATCCCCTGGGAACCTGAGGATCTGAGGGGCTAAATGACTTGCCCAGGCTACAGCCAGTACGAGGCACACACAGCCAGCAACAGAAGGAGTTGGAGACCAGAAGCCCCAAGAACCTCACCTCGAAGGGTCCCTGGTTCTGCCAACTCTTCCAGGACCAAGCCATCATCCCCTCCCTGGATGACAGCCACAGCCTCCAGCTGGTCCCCCCACAGCCCCGCTGCCTCCCTACTGTCCCTTCTCAACTCAGTAGCGAGTAAACTGTAAAGCAGATCACACCACTCTCCGGCAAAACTCTCCAAAGCCTTCCTACTACCTTTAGAAAGAACTCTGAGCCCCCAAAACCATGACCTATGAGGACCTACAAGATCTGCCCTGGTGACCCTTTCCGACTCTGCCTTCTGTCCCTTCCTGTCACTCACCTGCTTCAGCCCAGCAGCCTGCGCGCTGGTCCACAGATCTGCCAAGCTCCTTTCCGTCTCGGTGGTTCCCCCTGCCTGGACCTCCGTTACCCCGGTGCCTCACCTCATTCCCTCATCTGCCCCAGGCACGTACCTGTCACCTTTTCTGTGTTCCTGTTCTCTGGTTTACTCGTTCAGTGCCCATCTCCCCAGTGGAATGGACATTCCACAAGGAATTATCTGCCCTGTTCTCCGCACACCCCAGTTTATAGCCCAGGACACGCACGTGGGTGCCCAGCATACACACGTGGCTGACACCCGCATCAGAGACCCACCTGGTTCCGGAAGATCAAGGCTACCACGCCACCGATGAGCTCAATTATGAGGCAAATCCCAAGGATGTACATGAACTGAAAAACAAAATTCAGAGATTCACTGAGAGGGGCAAGCAAAGGGCCATTTGCTCTAAGGTCAAGTCCACAGGAACTCTAACTGGCTCCTGGGCCTTTTGCTCCTTCTTCCTGTGAAGACACAGGATGTGGACAGATATTCCCCGGGAAAACCCATCTCTAGAGCCAGTCCGCAGTCAGGAAGGGTGACTCAGCTGTCTGGGCCAGATGGCTGTGGAGGGTTGTCTCAGGCGTCCTCAGCAGACTCTGGGTGGAAAAACACCCTTTTGCCATCACCAGCACCACCGTGAGGACAGTGGGTCCTCACTGCAGCTGCCCCAGATGCAGGCCTGGCCCAACGGGAAGGCAGGGGCAGCATCTCCAGCTCTGCCTGCAGAGCCCCTCAGAAGCCACTTCCCAGACCCCCTCAGAGTGGATGATGCGATGTCTGAGGCTTGAGGGACACATACCCCCGCCCCCGGCCCCTTATCACAGGGCAGCCATTGTCCAAACTGATGTCAGCAACTTCCGGCCTCAGGCAGCCCCAGTAGCCTGCTTGTTCGGGCTCTGAGCAGCTTCCCACGTGAGGGGCGACACTGAGGTCAAACACACATGTGGGTGCAGAATGAACAGATCTGCCAACCCAGTCCCCCCAGCTTTGGGGAGCCATTCCTCACTTCAGAGAAAGGCAGCTCGGTGGGGCTGACCCCAGGGCAAGGACTTGGCCCAAGCAGGGGTAACCCCATCCCAGGGTTACCAGGAAAGATCCCCTCAATCCAGAGCGGATGGGTCTGAGGCTGCGGGTGACCCTTGCAAAGACAGCCTGAGGACGGGGAGGCGGCAAGAGAGAGAGAGCCCAAGGTCTAAGCCATGGCGCCAGCATGGGTTTGCTGATTATGTGAGCCAGTGACTGACTCACCACCAATGTTTTTGGGGTTTGCTGGCTCCCATTCCAGTGTGGTTTCTCCTACTTCCACCGGAGAGGCGGGAGCAACACAGTTTAAATAGGACAAGAGTATCCAGACCAGCCTTGACCTGCCAAAGTGGCTGGTCTCTCTTGGGCCAACGTGAACAGGTAGGCTGATCCAGAAAACCCTCTAGAAAGTCTGGTTTAAGGCAAGGACTGGAAAAAACGGGCTGCCCAGGGGCCCGGAGGCAGTCTCGCCAGCTCTCCAGGGAACTCCAAGGACACTCCCCCCTAACCCCGCCGCCCACCAGCTGAGGGGCACCCGGGGCCCACTCACCGCTTGGAGAAGGCACAGGTTGTCACGGAGGGAAGCCAGCACGCCAATGAAGGAGACGATGAACATGATGACCCCCAGGAGGATGAGGATGATGGCTGGAGCCAGAAAGGCACTTTCAAGGGTTTTATATTTCTGCCTCTCCACCTCCGCATAGATGCCCACCGACAGGACCAGGGCGCCGATCAGCTGCAGCAAGAAAGCGGGGAGTGAGAGAGAAGAGGGACTGGCAGTCACTTGATTATCCTACAAAGAGTTCGTGGGGGGCTCTGGTGCCCACCATGGGGGCTCACCCCAGATGACCATACACGAGGGAACCTGCTATGGTCTGAACTGTGCCCCCCACAAAGTTCAGAGGCTGCACTCCTCACCTCACCCCGAACCCAAGTACCTCAGAATGTGACTATATTTGGAGATAGAGCCTTTAAAGCGGTAATTAAGTTAAAATGAGCTCATATGGGTGGGCCTTAATCCCGTAGGACTGGTGTCCTTATAAGAAGAAGAGATCAGGCCACAGACACACACGGAGGGGTAAGCATATGAGGACCCGGGGAGAAGGAGGCCATTTGCACACCGAAGAGAGAGGCCTCAGGAGAAAAAGACCCTGTCAGACCTTGAACTTGGCCTTCTAGCCTCCAGAGCCGTGAGGAAATGAATTTCTGTGGTTGAAGCACACAGGCAGCCCGAGCAAACTGGCACAGGCCCTCTTCAGAGGAAAGTACCCAGGAGCTTGGGGCTCCTGGGATGCCTGTGACACAGGCAGGTTCCTCCCCACGCCCCACCCCGGGGACATTTCAGAGCTGCAGCATGCACCCCCCTAAATGTGGAATGTATTTACACGAGGACCCTCAGGAAGGCAGAGGGCTGGCGAGGGAGGAATTTTGAGGGGATTTTGAAGTCTAATTCCTTGTCGATCAACTTTCCCAACAGTGGAAAGATGACCGAGTTGCACTGTGTCAGGAAAAACCAGGTCACAACGCTCTTTGGAGGGTCCCTCTTGTCTCTCAGCCTAAAAGTCTTGTACTAAATTTTCAGGGAATTTTATCAGCTGACACCACTCCTGAGCCTGAGATGAGTCTGGGGCTACACTGCCGCCCTGGGATCCCACTGTAGTGTCCCGACTGGCCCCTTTGCCCATTCTCCACACAGAGGGACCAGGCAAACCCTTACAGAGCAGGCTGGTTCTCTGTGTGCTAAGAATGAAAGCCACAACCCTAAGCACAGACAACAGTCCCACAGGACCTATCTGAGCTCACCTCTCCCTGCCTTCCCTCCCTCACTCAGCTTTTGCAGCACTGGGCTCCTTACTGCTGGTGGAACACACTAAAGGCACCACCCCAGGGCCTTTGCACAGGCTTCTCCCACTGCCTAGACTGCTCTTCTTCCTGACATCCACAGGGTTCACTCCCTCAGCTCCCTCTTGTCTTTGCTCAGTTGTCAGCGGCTTTGTGAGGCTTTCCCTGGGGCCATCTTATTTAAAAGTAGAAAATCCTTCCCCCTGAAACTGCTGATCCCATTCCCCACCTTATTTTTCTCTTCTGCCCTGACCAGTATTTAACAGGCAGCTTTTTTCTTCTGCTTTGTAATTTTTTGTCTTTCCCCAACAGACTCTAAGCTCCATGTCAGGAGGGATTTTCCAACTGTTTGGGGTATCTCCAGCATTAGGACAGTCTTGACATTTAGGAAGAATAGTCAGGACTTACAATCCATGTGTACTGAGTGGATGTGAGCCAGACTTCCCAGTTAAGCCCCTTGGGTTTGAGCCTGACGCTGTGTACCCCTTCTCCTGCCTGTCCAAGGATTCTGAGTTTCCCTGCCACACTTTCTGAGGTCAAGGACACATCACTAGATACGCTGGGCTTCCCCACCAGGAGATGGTGATGTGGGACAATAACCAGAGCCAGCTAAGGTCCGAGCAAAGGAAGTGAGGGGTAATACCGACAGGATGTTGGTGAGATATACTAGAGTCAACAGCCAGAACACCAAGGAGGCTGCCTCTCCAGTTCCTTAATGGCCTTAAATTGTTCTAATGTGCTCTCCAAACAGATGCCCTTGACTTCCTTCTGAAGAGCACTAAGACCATCCTGGGGAAAGGGAAGTGCCTGCTTTTTCCGAAGCTTTGACAAGTGGCCAGGATGCCAAAAGTCAAACAGAATGAGCTTACTTAGAAACACCGGTAACAGGATGGCCAGGAAGCTGTCCCCCCGGGGACAAGTTGACTATATCAGGAAAACCATGCAAGAAATGATGTCATCGAAAGTACCCACTTGAAAAAAAAAAAAAAAAGTACCCACTTAGGTGAATGTTTAAATTTATAAGCCAGAACACACACACACACACACACACACACACTCACTCTCTCACATGAAACTTTCTACAGGAAAATGGTGACCCCAGAAAGTAAAGTCTACCTTTGACTGAGCTAGATTAATCAGAGGCTATCTGGTCAGTTCACGCTCCAAAACCCAGAACAAGGTGAGATCATTGTTCAAGGCCAGCCTAAGCCCTGTGCGTGCCCTAGAACAAGACTAAGCAGCTGAAAAACAGTCCCTTCTGGCCTTTCTGAATTACCGGACTTCTAAGGAATCGCTCACTCAACCCTAACCCTGAACCAGACACGGAGCCCAGAATCACTCCACCCCAAAGCTGAAGATCATGGTTAAAAAGGACCCCACACAGACGGACAGACGGACAGATGGAAGTCTTGAGAGCGCAGGCAGGGACTGAATTAAATATGCAAGGACACAGCGTACATGCGGGCGACAGAGGAGGGGTTGATCCTCTGGGTGAAGTGTCATTCTTACACTGTCGCTAACCCAACGAGATTACATCATAAGTTTTCAAAACTGATTCCATATACTTCTGAGAATTTTGTGTTTCCCGTTTTAAAGAAAAAAAAAAAAAGTCTTCTGGGCAGGAGAGCGTTTGGCCTATGTCCCTTGTTCATGCCTGCCTAAGGCTATGCTTCTGGGCTAAGGTAGCCTGCTTTGGAAACCACCTCCAAAACACCAGAGCAGAATTGACCCCAGCCCTCTCCATAAAGGCATAAAGTGGCTTCTTCTATTTTTACAAGCTCCCTAGAGCCCCGGGACCCACTCCAGGATGGCCTTGCCCACAGGAAACAATACTTCCTTTGGTGTGCTCTCCTTCCTGGTGCAAAGCATTGCATTTTCCTTGCTCGTCAGCCTTGCAACATTCCCAGACCACTAAAGCCATAGGAAATACTCCTGTGGCAAAAGCATCCCGACTCCCCCCACACTGTGAAAACTGAACCATCACACACGTGTTTCTCCTGGTCCAGCCCGACAAGCCCCGAGGGACACAGCACACACTGCTCTGGGCTCCTCCCTCAAGAGCTCAGGGGGCCATGGGCATGGGGAGAGGCAGCTGTACCCCTCCCAGGAACTTCAACATTTCCAATGATATTTACATCTCCGATGACCTCAGTTTATGTTTGTATTTGAGTATAAAATTAACTGTCAGGGTGAGCATGCAATCCCATCCAGAACTCTCTGCTAATTATAGCCTTTCCCCAAGGCTGCGGGAGACCACTCCAGCCCCAGCCAATAGCAAATGGCCCATTTGTCTTGCAACTTCAGCTAGACAGGGCTGGGAGGGAGGGATGGGAGGGCACATGGCCATGCCCAACTGGGGCCAAGCAGGGGATGCCCCTGGCAGCCCCCAGCCCAGGCCCAAAGCTCCAGGGTTTGCAAACTCTGTGGCATCTTCAACAAGCTGCTCAGGAGCCCTGTGGCCCAGCATAAACCAGCCTGAAGGATCCCGTGGAGCCCTCCAGCTAGGAAGCAGCCTTTCCTCCCCTACAGGGAAAGGCCCAGCTTCATAGGGATGCTGGAAGCAGGAGGCCCTGGGAGGCATTCCAGCACCTGTGTCTCCTCCTCCTGGAAGCATCTGGCCACCGGTCCACTGGCTCATCCCCAGCTGGGGTGAAATCTCACAACATTTTCACCCTAAAGGCACACACTAGTCACCGATTATGTTCCAGGCCTGGAGATCACAGGAGTCACAAGACTAGATAGGGGTAAGACTGGCATAAGATAGGGGTCAGAGAGGCTGGAAATGACCTCTACAGTCCAATGGATGGAATTCAGCAGGTCTCTGAACTGGGGATGGAGAAAAAAAGTCGTATCTTTACTTTTGCTAGCCTCCAGCTGAAATGTTTCTGACACCAAAAATGTGAAGATTCCCTAGTCTGTGTGGGGAAGCAAGCTGCTTCCTACCACAGAGAGGGGCAGAGGGAGCTGGGGATTCAAAGAAAGGTGAGGGGGAGACAGGGAATAGAAGGAAATCAGGGTGAGCTTCCTGGAGGAGTCAGTGTTTCCTGGAAGGTCCCAGGAACTGCTTCATTCTGGAACGAGTTCATGAGGCACTTGAGGCTCCAGAGTTCTCTGTCAGGCCCCAACAAAACATCTTCCTGAGTTTCTAGCTTTTGAAGAATGTAGGAACTCGCTAAACTCCAGGGCCCCAGAGAGACTCTAAATCAGATGGGGTTGGCAGGGCTCCTACATCTGGACCTCATATCCATCAGCCCTTCTGCCCCAGATCCATTCTGCCTGTCCTGGGCAGACGGCCACCCCCTCCTTGGCATGCCCATACCAGTTTGTCTCCTGCACAGAAGGAGAAGCAGAGATGAGACAAGAGATGGGAGCTGGCATTCTGGGCCTCCATTATCACCTCAATGCTCCTGGCCATGTCCCCTTTGGGGCTCGTTTGTCACCTGTGAAATAATAAAGCCCGCTGCCATTTACCGAGTGATGATGTCGCACAGGAGCCGGTGAATGCTAGACCCGCATCACCCCCCTTAACTTTCGCACCCCTCCCACACCCAAGAAAGGACTGGTCTCATGTTCCAGGCCAGGCGCTCATCTAAACCAAGGGACCCAGAGTGTAGGAGAGGCAGAGTCAGGATTCCCCACCAAAAGCCTGTCTGCCTGACCCGCCGCTAAGGCCTCCAGACAGGGCTTTTGAGAAGACCTGGAGAGAAGGGGTCCAAAATGTCCTGGCAAAATACAAAGTAATCACGAGCAGAGCAGTGCTGCCCGGGCAGGTGCTGCGATGACGCTGACTCCCGTCTGCAGCCACCTGCCACGTGCAGCAAGCCAGCTCTTGAAATGTGACTTGTGTGCCCAAGGAGCTACGTTTTTAAAAAGGTTTTTTGTTTATTTATTTGA